CACCAGTTTGCAAGTACTTTCTTGTTTCCTTACTTTTTTCCCCATTCAATCCTACTATTTTCCCATTTTTAATGTTTTTTATTTACTTGTAATATCTATGGCTCCACTACTATAATTCTGCTCTGGCGATGTCGACAGTCCTTTAAAGTTGTTATTTTAATTTAAATGGACGGAGAGTGGAGCTGACTGATCCTAGTCCTAATACCAGTCTAAACGAGTGGATACGGTCCCAGTATGGGCTCTCTGGGACCAAGAGAATGTGCGGTGAAGGAGGCTGCGGGTGTTGCGTAGTTTCTGCAACTAAGACGGACCTCTTGAGTAACGAACAGGTTACTCTAGCCATCAACTCTGTGAGTAAGAGCTAAACCTGAGCTTCCTTCTGTAAAAATAATAGGCAGTGGCTATTTTTACGGGCCCGTAATCCGACCGTGGGTGGCTATTTTTACGGCAGGATGATTTATCTATGGATTTACTCATTTTAAAACCTGGAAAACACTCTAAAATAAAAAACTAAACCCTAAACCAACCTTGGGGACTCCTAACATAACTAGGGGGCTCATAAAATGACTGGGACGCTCTAAAAAAAAAACCGCCACCCTAACCCCTAAACCCTAAAAACAATAGCTAAGTAGGGGACTCCTAACATAACTAGGGCTTCTAACATAATTAGGGAACATAGCGAAGTAGAAAGATAAAAAAAATCAATTTGTTAAAGTCAAAATGATAAAAAAAGAAATGGTCTGAGCTGGTGCCCGTCCGTTTCCAACCCAGCGCCTTCCCCACTGTGCTACCACGATCCTGCTGCCTTATTGATGCTTATTGTCATCTTTATACGTCACTTCATTTCTATATTCCCTGCCGTAAAAATAGCTGTATACAATGAGATTACGGGACCGTAAAAATAGCCACTACGAAAATAATATGCTAAATAGGTGTGGTTAATTAGATAATAATTAAATATTAATTCATTAATAATATGAATTTATCCGCAAAATATTTATAGTGCTTGTGTCCTTTGTATTCCATTAATGGTTGGTCTATTACTACGGTTGAAGGAATTGGCAGGTTAGCATTAGCTAGTACATAATTCAAGCAATATACATTAACTTGTATTAATTAATTTTGGTGAACTTGAGATACTGGTATAAAGCAATTTGTATTTTGAATTTCCCTTAGCTCTAAGAAAGGGTTTCATCCTGTACAGAAAAGGATTGCAGAGTACAATGGAACCCAGTGTGGTTACTGCACCCCTGGTATGGTCATGAGCATGCACAGGTAAGTAGCTCCTTTTAATTGCTTTATTTTTGAATATAAGAGTTGTCGTATTTATGTAAAGTTACTGTTTTTTTTTAGTTTACTTCAAAAGATTCCTGAACCAACAAAGCAGATTGTTGAGGACAATTTTGATGGTAATATCTGTCGTTGTACTGGTAAGGATCAATTGCATTT